AAAAAAAAAAAAAAAAAAAAACTTGAAGACCAACACAAGCTAGAGAAACTTAATCCAAAAACAGTGACAATGAGACTACTCACTTTTAAGAGCCTAACCGATTTAAGCTTTCTAAACATATTTTCATATTATTTTTCTTTTATTTTTACGCCGTTTAACCTTTAATTATTTTATAATATCATTTTAATATAAATTTAAAATTACACTAACAAATATTTATACCATCTTTTTTCTTCAAATTAATCATGACTAATCATAGTTTTTTTTTTTTCAAATTAAATCTGATTAATAAAAAATCCACTCTAAAAGTAAAAATTTCGTATCTGTCAAACAAAAATTCTATTGAGTCAACGAATAGTTTTTTTATGAAGCCATTCATGATTTAGTGTATTGACGCTTGTTCAAAATATATTTATTGTAGAATACATGTCATCAATACACTATTTTTGAATAACTGTGGATGAGTACGAGCCATCCGATGTTGTATAACAAAACTAATCAATCAAAACTCTACTCACACTTCCATCGTGTCAAGACTCTCAACACAATAACAGCATATTTGCGATTTTCTCTCGAAACCCTAACAATCCTTCTCTCCGAATCTTATCGTCCCTCGGTTGAATCTCGATTTGCCGAGTTGCATCAGCTGTCGATCTGTAATTCCCCCGATCAGAACTACCGTACTCTGTTTGCTGGATTTCCAATTGATGATGGAGGAGGAGTTGTTCAATTAGCGAGGGATTTCCATTTTTCCGAACTTCTTGTCGTAAGCTGCAATTTCGGTGGTTGTTTTGCTGCTGCTCGGCTAATTATTCGATACCTAAAGCTGGGGTTTTGCTCGGAATCCTGTTCCAGAAGTTTCCGGCAAAGAGTTCCAGAAGCTCGGGAGGCGGTGGAATGGTGATTCGACGGCGGATTAGAGGGATTTATGGTGGTTGTAGTTGATGTGGGTCGGTGTAATTTCAGGTCGTTTGGCGGAGTTTGGGATTGGGGTCGAGACGATCAACCATATCTGTGAAAATCTGAGCAAATTTCGTAGATGTTGAATTTTTTGGAGTCTTTGAGCAATTAGAAGGCCATTGATCGGTTTGATTATTTTTCTTGAGCAATAGCAGTAAAGGAAAAAGAAGAAGAAGAAAAAAGAAGCTTCTTTTGTTTCATTGTACTTTTGTTATTATTATTGTGCTTCTTGTTCTTGAAGTTGAATGCCAGGCCTTTCATCATTTCGTGTCATTTAACGGCCTTTATTTCTGTTTGTGGTTGTTTCTCATTGGAAGAGAAAGAAAAGAAATATATACAGAAAAAAAAGTGAAAAATATGGCTGTTTATTATAAATTCAGAAGTGCTAAAGATTATGATTCAGTTAGGATTGACGGTCACTTTATACCGGTGGGGCAATTGAAAGAAAAAATATTTGAATTAAAGCATTTGGGCAGAGGTACAGATTTTGACCTTGTTGTCACCAACGCCCAGACTAATGAAGGTTTGTTTTGGTTTTCAAAATGCTGTTCAAATAAATTTACTTAAAACAGATGCTTTTGATTGCTTATAACATTTTAGTTCCTTCAGCTGAAGCATAGTAGTTTTGCAGTTTTTGGTCATTTGAAATGTTAGTAATAGTGAACATTACCCGATGGATGCAATTTTGCTGAATTTAATATATTAGGCACTGGTTCTTAAGTTGTTAGGAATCTTTTATCCTAATGGATTTGGATTGGTACTGGCAATTCATGTATTTTGCCTTCAGGTATTTAAGTGAATAGTTGGCCGTCGTAAATAAATTATGTTTTGATTGTATACAGTCCCTTTACTGGACTTGAGGGCTGGCATCTTGATTGCGTTGTATCTTTGCTAATTTTTAGGGGTTTTGGATGCATTTTAGAACAAATTGTATTTGTTTGAAAATTTAAAGTTTATTACAGGATGGAATTAAAATAATCAGGATTGCTTTACTCTAATTTGCATATGCATTGATCTTATCTGAAAAGGTTAAATCACGTCTTTAGAACATTTCTGCTCTCTTACAAATTAAATTAATCTGATGGTTCTTCATATGAATGATGCTAATTCCAACAGTATTAAATAGATAGCCGCATATATTGTGCATTGTTATTACATCAATTAGGGTATGTCTGTCTCAATAAAGTGTTGTTGGAGAGGATAAAATGCATGTAGCAAACTCTGCCTGGACAATTGGTTGGGAGCTTTTGAGGATAACCACAATATTCTCCTGAACTTGGAATGATGATATTTAGTTTTGTAATTGTTGAGAAAGGAGTTTTTGTTCCTTCCTTTGAAAAATGATAGAATAGAGACATGCATAATAATCATAATTACGTTGGGTTGGTGGGACGATGGCAGAAGAATATCTCAATCGAGCAGTGTTAACTTTAGTGTGCTATTTGGTTAAGCTTATACGGTGATTTGTTGGGCTTTACAACCTTCTCATTCTTTGTAATTTCAGAGTATCTTGATGAAGGAATGTTAATTCCCAAAAATACTTCAGTTTTAATATGCCGCGTTCCTGGACGTCCTCGCAAGCCCATAGTTACTGCTCCTGTGACCGAGCAAAAAGAGTATTGCCTTAATCCTTTTAAATCTTGCTTATGTAGTTTCCTCATAAACAGAAAATTTGTGTAACTAGAAAATAGAAACCACTTTCAAATGCTGCAAATTGGAAAGTGTTTCATTTGGTTTCACTTGGCGTATTTGTTGTGAACTCAAGAAGGTGGATCTGTGGGACTTATATCCGTAGCAGCCTCCTAAAGACTGTCTCTTAATAGCCCAGGGTTGGCAACCACTGATTCGGGAGTCTGTTAAACCTTTCGAATTTGCTATGGGACTGGAGCGGTCAACCATGGTCGTCGGAAGAACAACCACCTCTTTGCACACACTCACAAGAAAAGACAATTGTTGTTTTACATGACCCAGTGTTTGTGTAATTTCTTAGTGCATAGTTCTGTCTTTCTATCTGTACTGTAGGCCAAATATCGAAACTAATTACAATGGTGGTCAAGCTGTAAAAGGTGCTGTTGCTGGAGTATATCAATCTGCTACGAATGATGTGAGCTTCACTTTTGTTAATAGTCAGAAAAATCTTTATATCCAATTTCTTGAGTAATTGAGAGGCAGGCTGCAGGATGCTCATATCAACTTTTTAGTGGCTTATTGCATTACAATGCTCAATATTTGGTCCTTTGTAGGCTGAGGATTTTGAGTGGGATGACTTTGGGGATGACCTCTACGCGATTCCTGAATCTGCATCTGTTCAACAGACCATCCCGGTTCAGGATGTTTCACCTGTTTGCAAAGATGATGAGGAGAGCAAGATTAAAGCTTTAATTGACACTCCGGCCTTAGAATGGCAGCGGTGAGAGAAAAGTTTTATTTGCTTAAAATTGAAGCTTAAAAGGACAATGACAACATAAATTGAGGCTTTCCTATTGTGACTTGGTTCTTTCTTGGCAGTCAACCTTCTGATGGCTTTGGTCCTGGTAGGGGTTTGGGACGGGGCATAGGCGGAAAAATGATGGGTGGACGTGGTTTTGGTATATTCTCATGCTCTTGACATCTATTTAAATAGTTGTTCTATAAAGAGTACCATTAATTGTTGATTTTATCTGAGGACATTATTTTCTCTAAATTGTATGAATTTAGATTTTTGGGGCCTTGATTCTACCAAGATATCATGTTCCTGTGTTTTTGTTGACAATGAATCTTTCTGTAATCTATATTAGATGTTGATTCTTCAGGTCGAGGTGGATTTGAGAAGAAGACACCACCACAAGGCTACATATGCTACAGGTGCCAGGTGCCTGGTAAGTAAAGAATGGTACAATTGTTCAGTGTCAAATGGATAGTTTTAAGGGACATGTTATTGAAAATCAAAATTATTCTTTTAGGGCATTTCATTCAGCACTGTCCTACGAACGGTGATCCTACCTTTGACATCAAGAGGGTTAAACCACCTACCGGAATTCCAAAATCAATGTTGATGGCAACTCCGGATGGCTCGTACACATTGCCAAGTGGAGCCGTGGCAGTTCTGAAACCAAATGAGTAAATCTATCTTGACCAATCCTCTTTATAGTAACTTCTTCACAATGTGTCATATGTCCTTACTGGTTGAACTGTACAGGGCTGCGTTCGAGAAGGAGATTGAGGGAATGCCATCCACACGTTCTGTTGGTGATCTCCCTCCAGAACTGCATTGCCCGCTGTGTAAAGATGTTATGAAGGATGCTGTCCTTACAAGCAAGTGTTGTTTCACCAGCTTTTGTGATAGATGTAAGATGCCACTTAGATTGATGCTTTATTTTTCGATGCCATATAACATATGAGCTGCATTTTCATCATGTTGCTGTATTTTATGCACATGAAGCCGGCGAAATTTGTGGGCATACAGGAGTCAAAGATGATGTGTAACTTGTTGAATTTATCTTAACCTTTTTGATTCATTCTGATTTTTGAATTGTCCTTAGGCATACGAGATCACATCATATCCAAATCAATGTGTGTGTGCGGAGCCAAAAACATTCTCGCTGATGATCTGTTGCCTAACAAGACATTAAGAGATACTATAAACCGGATTCTAGAATCCAATAATAACAGCAGTGAAGATGGCGGGAGTGCATTTCAAGTCCAAGGTTTGTGCCATATTGAATCCAAGTGTTTTGTTGTATATTATACTCCCCCTGTTTCTTAATTGTAGTTGTTCTATTTAAAATACTAGAATTACAATGCTTATGGGTTGAGTAATATATACCTCATAATAAATCTCGAAATCTAGTGTTTAGGATTTTTTAGTATTATTTTCTCTCTATTTCTGTTACGTTAGTCGTTAAGTATCGAATATTTCATTATTTTTCTTTCTATGAAAATGC